GGGGATACAAAGAGAAAGTCGACGAAGAGAATCTACCAATGTTACTTAGGACCTAATGAAATGTTCAGCTTGGTTTTTCCAAGTATCAACAATGAATTATGAAGGCAAGTTTGTTGCATATTTCATAAGTATAACGAGAAGATGAATTGAATAACGATTACAAGTTATGAACAATCTCAATTGAATCTTTGAAAAACCAGAATTTTGTGATAGCGCATATATTATTAATACGTTTGCTAAAAACTAATTGTTCTCCATTTATGTTAAGAAAAGCAATCATTGTCCTCCTTTATCTCCAAACCTCAAATGAAATGTCCTCCTTTTCAAGATTTGTATATGGTAAGCCTACTTTTGTGGCATTGATGCATGCATTTTTGTTCTACATGTTTTGACCTCAGATACCCTAGTCAGTTAGGGCACGGTATTACCATAGAGGTAACTCTAAGACCACTGGTTCCCGAAGAAAATCATTATTATTTTTGGCTCACTCAGTACCAGAACAATGGTCCCAAGCAGTCCCAAGCTATTTCACTCACCCTTGCATGTTCTGCATGAATCCACACACCCCTGATGTTATCTGTCAAACTTTCATAGCGAATCAAAACAAACATAGTGTAGTAATAGAATTTCAACTAGAATAGGGTACGTTAATCGTTTGCTTGGGACCAATAGGCTACTAAAGTGGTGAGCCAATTTAAAATCGTTAGTTTCGTATTGATTGTTGGTATTACCAAGCTTGGAGGCGGAGGATTTGATTTCCCTGTTATTCGAAAACAGCTTCTGGATCAAAGCATCATTGTGCTTACCACACAATATTCATGTATTATTTAGCATAAAATCGACGATAACAAATCAAGAAGACTGGCAACTTTGCCAGAATCCAAGCGACATATACAATGGCGCTGCGCTTGAGTGAAGGTGCAAGCAACACATAGAGAAATGAGCTTATACTCAAACCCTTCTTCTGAGGATGTAATCTTTGCTATCAAATTCGTTCGAAGCATTTACCTTTGAGCGGCAGACGACGCGATTGTACCTGTTTCATAGCGTTCGTATGAGAAAATGGAAGAGTTGCCGGTCTTCTTGATTTGTTGTCTTTGATAGAATGCTCTCAATCAAGAAATGTGGAAATTTTTCAAAGAACAGTAAGTTGAGAGTAAGCGTAAGCCCGTAACGTGGGTAGATCACCTTTTCGCTGTACTACCACCGATTCCTAGTCCTGACTGCTTCAAACTAGGGGAATAGGATTTTTCAGTAATCAAATGAACACATCTTAGTCCTTGCTACTTTTTATGCCTTGTTAATAGTGATAAGTCCTCGGGATGCTTGGACCGAGGATGATCTTGAAACAAGGAAAACAAAAAAAGCTCGTGTAAGAGCGTCAATGCCAGTAAGAAGATATTGTTACATGATATTAAAGGTTGTATCGTCGGTGGTGAGGCGAAAGTGAGTGGCGCATGCTAGGGTGGGCAAATTGTGAAATTTTCGCTTCAAACTGCAGAAAAAAAAAAATTTAAAACAGTCGAGACAGCAATATTTGTAGTGCAATAGGACGCGTGCTCTATCCTAATCGTTCCGAGGAATAATCTCCTAAGTGAATGCCTTCGTTTTTGTTGTTTCCTTACTTTTGTTTAATTTTACCTGAAAATAATCGTCGTCACAGTTTTGAACGGCGATCAAGATGTTCAAGCGACCTTAGCGGTTTGTAGTGATATGAAGAGCTCGGTGGCCTAATGGCAACCGGGTTTGCTTCAAATTGACTGGTTTTGCGAACTAAGCAGAAAATCATGATGAATGTGGGCGTCTTAGTGGAATACCTGTATAATGAGAGAGAAGGATTAGTATTTTCCGAGTTGGTTGGAAATGCTAACATGAAGCTTTAGTGTGATGATTTATTAGCTAGAGAATGATCTTTAGAAGAATGTAGGTGGATAGTTCCGTTAGAGTACGGCAGTATGAAAATTGAATAGAAGTTGAAAATGAGCGAAGGGCCATTAAAGCGACAGTTTTTCAAGATGACGCACATTTTTGCCTGTGGACTTGGAGACATACTTCAAGTCCCCGCGTACATCGTACGGGCTAGGCAAAAATGTGCGTCATCTTGAAAAACTGTCGCTTTAATGGCCCCCTTCGCTCATTTTCAACTTCTATTCAATTTCATACTGCCGTACTCTAACGGAACTATCCACCTACATTCTTCTAAGATCATTCTCTAGCTAATAAATCATCACACTAAAGCTTCATGTTAGCATTTCCAACCAACTCTGAAAATCGTTAACTTCGCGTATGAAGTAACATAAAAAACACTTTGAATGTAACAACTCAAGGCGGGAGTAGCCGTCAACAATGCTGATGATGGTACAGCACGCAACAACCACCCTACTGCTTTCTCTCTGAGATGATCACGTTGGTCATGACGAGAGGAGCAACACAATAGTTGGGTAAAGAAGAACTGCATTATAATACACCATCGACTGGAAATGCTCTCGCGACGTGGGGCTTTAGGTAGTGATGAAAACGTCGCTAGAACTATTCCACAGCCGCAGTCAGTTTATGAGCAACAAGAGGGACGCACATTTTTGCCTGTGGACTTGGAGACATACTTCAAGTCCCCGCGTACATCGTACGGGCTAGGCAAAAATGTGCGTCATCTTGAAAAACTGTCGCTTTAATGGCCCTTCGCTCATTTTCAACTTCTATTCAATTTTCATACTGCCGTACTCTAACGGAACTATCCACCTACATTCTTCTAAAGATCATTCTCTAGCTAATAAATCATCACACTAAAGCTTCATGTTAGCATTTCCAACCAACTCTGAAAATCGTTAACTTCGCGTATGAAGTAACATAAAAAACACTTTGAATGTAGTATTTTCCATTTAATTCCACTACTTTATTTGCTTATCCTTGATGTCAAAGGTAAGCAAATAAAGTAGTGGAATTAAATGGAAAATACTAATCCTTCTCTCTCTCATCAGAAAATCATGATTTCAATCCCGTGCTCCTTCTTAATAAAAAATTGTGTTGGTCACGTTGATTTCTTAAAGTATTTATTTATCTTTTAATCACCTTCGGTTACATTATTTTTTTCAAATTGATTCCATTGAATAGCTTCAGGTTGCCAGGCTTGAACGATCATCAATCGTAATCGTTTATTGTGATGTGAGTGGCTCGGTGACCTAGTAGCGATTGTTACCGTTTGGGTAGTTTACCCTATATCACCAGCAATGAGCGATGAGAGTGAGTGTAGGTATTGGCAATACATACTGCTTTTCAGTATGAACGAGCTATTGAGTTATTTATTATATTAAGCTATTTATTAAACTGTTAAACCGGAAGTTATTGGTCATTTATCTAATGTTATATGTTATAAAACTTAATTTATTAAAACAAATGCAAATGTGTAAAAGATCGCCGAACAGATTACAATTTGTTAAACATAAGGTACACTTCCCATACAGACACCACAAACAGGATCGGATCATAGAAGAGGGAAACAAATTGAAAGTATGACGGGTGGAAACAGGGAGTATGGTCAAATAGGAGAAAATCGAGGTTACCACTGGGTCAGATCGAATGGGCAAGTTCTTTTCCACTTCAGCTCTTCTCGAAGGAGGTTTGGAGCATAGTTCGCAGATAAAAGTCAAAGTGTTTAAACAAGTTATAATTCAAGTCGAAGTGACTTTCCAGTTAAATTAAGTTGAAAAAAACCTCTGGAACACGTTAATCAAAAGAATCAGGACCCATTGTCCTTAGTTTAAGTCTCCGCTGTTCAGCGTTGAGCCACCGAACGCTTTCTAGACCATCGGAGCGGTCAACCGGCCCCCAGCAAGCGTGAAGTTCCTCGCAACCACTGGCGATCAAATGAACGCTGTCTAGACCGTCGGAGCGGTCAACCAAGCGAGCGTCGGGAAACACGAAATCGCGACTTTAGTAGTTTGGAAAAAGGTAGCTGGTGAGACCCAGTGATCAGCACGAGGTTCGATGCGGTCATTCCATAGCATTAGTAACCTGAGCGACGAAGCCAGTAGCAGATCATCCGCCGGGTCATCCGCCCAGCGATCCACGATCCAGCACGCCGGCCGGCCATTCACACACCCACACACGCACACACCCTATTATTCGTAAGTAACATAAAAATCTAACATGCTTAAAAGAAGACGGAGTAGAAGGTTATTTGCGCGCTGATCAGCCTCACCATCCCACCCTTTGTCGAGATACGACCTGGGGAAGAGTTGTGAGCTAAACCAGCAAAAGAGGCTGGTGGAAAGCCCACCCCGTTGGTCCCCATGGCTCTAGACCAAGGACCTGGGGCATTGCCATAATAGAGAGCTCTGCTCCCGCCAGAAGTTACACGACCAATGTTGCTTCCTGAGCAGAAGAGGTCTCAGCATCATCCCTTGTTTTTTGTATTAGAAAAAAAGGTTAAAATAATGTCTAATAGAACTCGGTTGCAACGGAGCGATAACAATGTATTAAAAAATGACGCAAGCTTGATCAGGGTTCGAATAGCGACGACGAATTTGGTTAGAACAGGTACGTAAAAGCAGTGTTATTAGCGGTACATGGCTATGCATCATGATTGAATCATCCGGAATGACTTCTTTGCTATCGTTTCTCTGCTGAGAAGTTTAATGCGACATGACAGTCATTGTTGTCGTCGTTTGAAGCCACCGCCGAATTTGAACCAACTCGATCGGAAGCTCGGCTATAATAGTTTTATTTGTATATATATAATAAGGGACTCGGTGTCCTAAGCTTACCCGTGACTTATTATGGCGAAAGATAAGAACGAAAAGTTCATTTTCCCATAGTAACTCCTATATAAACTGCGTAAGGCCAGTGAGTGAAGTATGCGATTGCATGCAAATGAGTTCAAATGAGTCCGATCTGGACTGGATTTGAAATATATTGCTTGATTTATTAATTGTTACTTGTCAGTTTTTAATTAAACCAGTTGGTTCACTTGTCTGTTTTGGTCGTTTCGATGAATTTCCATTTTAAGGCATGTTCGGCCCCTTCATCAAGGTCATGATCGGACAACCATTTAGTAAATGGACCTTCAGTTGATTACATTCATCACTGGGGGTCCACGCTGAGGTTGGACAATCCTGGAAACCGATTACAAAGTATTTTGCCTTCTTTAGATGATATTTTGCAGATTCGAACTCACCGTGAACATCGTAGTAGGCAAACAGTCAAAAAAGGTACCTGCGGCGACGCTACAACCTAGACTGTTCTTTTCCGATAGCGTCGCGGCTACTTTCTGGTAACAAGTGTCCACTGAAGTCTTGGCAACCGTTTGCCAGTCGCTTGATGATCCGACAAGTGAAACCAACTTGGAAGTGGCCGCATCCTTACTCAGCACATCGTTGGTCATAATGCCCAACTCTTCGAGCATACACTGGGCCATGCACTGCAAATATGGATAGTGAAAATTAATTTTAGAAAATTACATTCTATCACTCTCAAAGTTACATTAAAAACAGGAGGAGAACTTCCCGGTGTTGGTGGTAAATCTGGTTTCGGGAACCTCTGCATGCAAGTAGTGAACTCTTCTCGGGTCGGTATAAAATTAGGAGTTGCACAGCATTCCTTTAGGTGCTTATTGTTGGGTCGGTTGAAGCATTCCGGATTGATTTGTTGCTGGCTGCAGACCTAAGAATAATACAAAAAAGTAGTTGAATTTCTGGTGTTATTAAATATTCTAAACTAATGTTACCGTAGCAACCAAACCGATCCCAGTAAGCAGAACCAAATTGAACTTCATTTTGCCAGTAGGGTGACTCGATTGCACTAAACCAAACACAAGAACAGTTCTACGATCAACCCTAGTCGATGCAAGAGCTTTTATGCAAAGTTTTCAGCTCGCATTCACTAACCGTGAAATTGGACCACGGTCAGAGAAAAAACTGAACTGCCTAAACACTCAATCGCGGAACATTTGACAAGGGCCTATCAGTTTTTGTAAACATAACTTGTAATGTCATTTTCGCGTAAATCGAAGCTTGCCTGTGCAAACCGACAACACTTCCCGATAGTCGTTGGTTTGCGTGGGCGGTAAGCCCTTTTCAAATGTTACTTAGTATGTTTGAGAATGTCATCCAGTTCATCGGGTGGATGATCTTGCACAATACGGTGATGTTTTTTTTTTTTTTTTTTTTTTTTCTTTACCGCCGGTTTTTGGTTAAAATACGCAGTGTGTTTCAATGCTTACAAATCGTTTAAGTTGGAAAACATATTAGTTAATCTGATGAGAGCATGATGTTTCAACATGGATTTTCAGCATTAAAGTTGCAATTTTGAAATTTGGATGAGTGTTCGCTTGTGGACATAACCAACTGGATGAAACCATTCTGCTATTTCAAGAACGTCAAAATTATACAAGAATGCTGCAATATTCCTCGTGTCATCGTTTCAAACAGAGTATCGATGCTTAATGTTCGGAGAAGCGCAGAATTGTGTTGACGACTACCGTCGTAAGTGCTGTGAAGTTGGATGGATCATTAAAAGCATTCATTCATTGAGCAGTTCCACGCCAAATGACGAATCGATTTGACGTGACTTTCTCCGATTTGCATGAAACTTTGCCTAATTGTTTGTTATGGTCTCAATCATTAACATTTGAACTAAAATTCAGCCATGCATAATTTTAAAAATGAAGTATTCTATATTTTTTTTAAAAACCATAACTTGTAATAACATCTGAAAAAGTTGTTGGAAAAAATATTCCTTTTAAACAAAAATATGCACGGTAAAAAAAGTTAAAAAATTTTGGGTAATAAATTCAAAAAAAGTGTTTCAAACACAAATTACTAAAAATTACTATCTTTAATATTCTTTAAAACTAACCTAAAAATATTGTCACTAACAATTGATACGGTATCCGATAAAGATCATTTTTAATTTGAGTGAGTGGCAAAAGCTGTTTTGTCAATATCCCCAGATTTTGCAGCACTGGTCGAAGCTATTTGCTTTACTTTTTTATTTTAAAGCTTCCTTATCCAATATGGAGTATTTCCCGGCCAAACATCAGCACAATTGATTTATTTTACTTGACCTTCGTCGATTTGCATATTTGTTTGTTATCATCCACATATGTGCAAAAATTCGGCCTTCTTGGATTTTTATTTTTCAAAATGATTTTTTGACATTTTTCAAATCGTAACTAGTATGAAAACGCCACTTTTAAACGATTTTTTTCCTTGATTTTCTTCTTTCTGTACTGAGTAACAATGCTACCGACGCCAGGGAGGCAGCTGTCACACCTGGACCCTACATATGGACCCTTCAACTCATGGACCGTGGACCAACGGCTTTACTTCCCTTCCGAAGGAACGCGTGATATGAGAATTTATGCCTCAGAAAATCACGACGACGTCGACTGGGATTGAACCCAGGCCCTTTGAAGTGAGAAGCAATCACGCTTACCACTACACCACCGGCGCCGGGAAGTGAAGTAAAGCCATTGGTCCCCGGTCCATGAGTTGATGGGTCGATAGGTAGGGTCCAGGTGTGAGAGCTGCCTTCCTGGCGTCGGTAGCATTGAACACAAGACACAAATCAAGGAAAATAATTTACCGTGTATATTTTTCCGAACATGACTTAATTTTTCTTTACAACTCAGCCTCAGAAGTAATTTTGGTTAGAAGTGACGTTTTCATACTACGATTTATTGAAAAATGCAAGGGGGTGGTCACTCCGCACAGTGTGCAAAAATACAGTTGGACACACCTGGGCACTCTCATTGGCACTATTTGGCACCAGAAGTTACTAGCAACACTGTTCTATATCTGCACCTGTGCATGTGTCAACATTTTAATCATTGTATCAACAACAATTGCATTGCCATCGCGAATTTCCAGCCAAGTTCCGCCATGGATTCCTCAACAGCGCACATTTTAATGGCTGTCCCAAGCAATACATCATTCGTATGAGTATTTCTTCGTTTTTAAATCATGAATGAGGAGAGGGGGTCCTTTATTGTTGCTCATAAATTAAATTAAAAAAAAAACGTAATTCCTCTAGCCTTTCTAGCCGAAAGAAAAGAAACGAAACGGATGAAATGGTGCCCTCCACTACCCGAGAAAGAACCGATAACTAATCGATAACATATGAACATCTTAGTGTGGTCTGATTCATTATTTTGGTATGCTTGTGGTATGAAACCTTGTTTAATATTTTGTAAAATATCAAATAAATACCATATATAATACTAGCTGAGTGTACCCGGTCTTGCTTGGGATTCAATATTAGCTTGAGTTTATGCACCGATTTAAAAAAAAAGCATGCTATATTGTACGTAGCCCCCCTCCCCTATTATCTAAGGGGCTACCCCCTATGATTATCTCCTTATACCCCCCCACTCGCCTCCACATGCCTAATTTGGTTCCAATTGCTTGATTAGTTCTCGAGTTATGCAGAAATTTCTGTTTCATTTGTATGGGAGCCCCCCTTACAGAAGGGGGAGGGGTCTCGAACCATCATAAGAACCTTCCACGGCCCCAAAAACCCCTGTATACAAATTTTCATGCCAATCGGTTCAGTAGTTTCCGAGTCTATAAGGGTCAGACAGACAGACAGACAGACAGACAGACAGACAGACAGACAGACAGACAGACAGACAGACAGACAGACAGACAGACAGACAGACAGACAGACAGACAGACAGACAGACAGACAGACAGACAGACAGACAGACAGACAGACAGACAGACAGACAGACAGACAGACAGACAGACAGACAGACAGACAGACAGACAGACAGACAGACAGACAGACAGACAGACAGACAGACAGACAGACAGACAGACAGACAGACAGACAGACAGACAGACAGACAGACAGACAGACAGACAGACAGACAGACAGACAGACAGACAGACAGACAGACAGACAGACAGACAGACAGACAGACAGACAGACAGACAGACAGACAGACAGACAGACAGACAGACAGACAGACAGACAGACAGACAGACAGACAGACAGACAGACAGACAGACAGACAGACAGACAGACAGACAGACAGACAGACAGACAGACAGACAGACAGACAGACAGACAGACAGACAGACAGACAGACAGACAGACAGACAGACAGACAGACAGACAGACAGACAGACAGACAGACAGACAGACAGACAGACAGACAGACAGACAGACAGACAGACAGACAGACAGACAGACAGACAGACAGACAGACAGACAGACAGACAGACAGACAGACAGACAGACAGACAGACAGACAGACAGACAGACAGACAGACAGACAGACAGACAGACAGACAGACAGACAGACAGACAGACAGACAGACAGACAGACAGACAGACAGACAGACAGACAGACAGACAGACAGACAGACAGACAGACAGACAGACAGACAGACAGACAGACAGACAGACAGACAGACAGACAGACAGACAGACAGACAGACAGACAGACAGACAGACAGACAGACAGACAGACAGACAGACAGACAGACAGACAGACAGACAGACAGACAGACAGACAGACAGACAGACAGACAGACAGACAGACAGACAGACAGACAGACAGACAGACAGACAGACAGACAGACAGACAGACAGACAGACAGACAGACAGACAGACAGACAGACAGACAGACAGACAGACAGACAGACAGACAGACAGACAGACAGACAGACAGACAGACAGACAGACAGACAGACAGACAGACAGACAGACAGACAGACAGACAGACAGACAGACAGACAGACAGACAGACAGACAGACAGACAGACAGACAGACAGACAGACAGACAGACAGACAGACAGACAGACAGACAGACAGACAGACAGACAGACAGACAGACAGACAGACAGACAGACAGACAGACAGACAGACAGACAGACAGACAGACAGACAGACAGACAGACAGACAGACAGACAGACAGACAGACAGACAGACAGACAGACAGACAGACAGACAGACAGACAGACAGACAGACAGACAGACAGACAGACAGACAGACAGACAGACAGACAGACAGACAGACAGACAGACAGACAGACAGACAGACAGACAGACAGACAGACAGACAGACAGACAGACAGACAGACAGACAGACAGACAGACAGACAGACAGACAGACAGACAGACAGACAGACAGACAGACAGACAGACAGACAGACAGACAGACAGACAGACAGACAGACAGACAGACAGACAGACAGACAGACAGACAGACAGACAGACAGACAGACAGACAGACAGACAGACAGACAGACAGACAGACAGACAGACAGACAGACAGACAGACAGACAGACAGACAGACAGACAGACAGACAGACAGACAGACAGACAGACAGACAGACAGACAGACAGACAGACAGACAGACAGACAGACAGACAGACAGACAGACAGACAGACAGACAGACAGACAGACAGACAGACAGACAGACAGACAGACAGACAGACAGACAGACAGACAGACAGACAGACAGACAGACAGACAGACAGACAGACAGACAGACAGACAGACAGACAGACAGACAGACAGACAGACAGACAGACAGACAGACAGACAGACAGACAGACAGACAGACAGACAGACAGACAGACAGACAGACAGACAGACAGACAGACAGACAGACAGACAGACAGACAGACAGACAGACAGACAGACAGACAGACAGACAGACAGACAGACAGACAGACAGACAGACAGACAGACAGACAGACAGACAGACAGACAGACAGACAGACAGACAGACAGACAGACAGACAGACAGACAGACAGACAGACAGACAGACAGACAGACAGACAGACAGACAGACAGACAGACAGACAGACAGACAGACAGACAGACAGACAGACAGACAGACAGACAGACAGACAGACAGACAGACAGACAGACAGACAGACAGACAGACAGACAGACAGACAGACAGACAGACAGACAGACAGACAGACAGACAGACAGACAGACAGACAGACAGACAGACAGACAGACAGACAGACAGACAGACAGACAGACAGACAGACAGACAGACAGACAGACAGACAGACAGACAGACAGACAGACAGACAGACAGACAGACAGACAGACAGACAGACAGACAGACAGACAGACAGACAGACAGACAGACAGACAGACAGACAGACAGATGAAATTCATTTTTATATATATAGATCACCTTAAAGTGTTATTGTATTGGTATAAGAAGACCTTTTAAATAACTAATTATGGTACTCTGGCATAAAAAAGTCTGTTATCCGTCAGTTATTATAATAACTAAATTCGTTATTAGTTAGTTATTCGTAGAAATTTTTTGAGATGGAGTTTTTGGTATTTTACCTCTTATGTCAGGCTCGTCAATACCATATTTAGGTGGCCAGTTATGCTATTTTCATATCTTAATTTGGTATTAATGAGTTATTTTCTATTGCTTGGCTACTACTACGCGTTGTGTTTCGATTTGATCAGTTTGAATCCATCTAGACTAGTTTTAGTTGGCTTACTGTGGGTGCGGGAAGGTGGCTCGACTTCCCTTAGATTTCTTTGATTTTTTCACCACTTCTAACTCTTCGGCAGATACATCTGCTTGTGCAAGCCGCCACAGTGCGCGCTCAGCGCGAATTAAATCCTCTTGCTTCAGCTCGCGTCTGATCTGCATAGCTCCTTGCTTCCTAAATTCCACGTACCGATCAACGAACGAATACACGTAGGCAATTGCTCGAAGCATGGAAAACCGTTCATGCTCGATGCATGTCCGAATTACCTTCGCCCGATGCACGTGAATAGCACGTAGTTCTTCTTCGGTTTCGATGGATTGAACCTGCTGCTCTGGCCACTCATTCTCCTGTTGGTAGAGGAATACCGGCCCGGTGAACCAGCGACTGTCCGGATGCAAAGTGGGACCTTTTCCCCATTTGGTGGCTTCGTCCGCCACATTCTGTTTTGCGTGTACCCATCGCCATTCTTCAATCGTTGTTTCTTCCAGAATTTCCCCAACACGACCCGCTACATACTGGCGATACTTCCGAGCATCTGATCTGATCCACGAAACAACTGTTTTGGAGTCACTCCAGAAAAATGTGCGATATGTAGGGAGCGAATGGTACTCAGCAACGGATTTTGCTATTCGACTTCCGATGACCGCTGCTTAGAGCTCTAACCGAGGAATAGAGAGTGGCTTCAATGGAGCCACCTTGGCTTTTGATGCTATCAAAGCACATCGTGGCTGACTTCGATCCATCATTCGAAAATATGCAACGCAAGCGAAAACAGATCCACTCGTATCCACAAACACATGAAGCTGCAGTGATCGGAAGCCATCCGGATCATATCTGGGGAAATAGCACCGCGGAATCTGAACATCGTGTAGCTTGGTGAATTGATTGATCCACCTTCCCCAGTTCCCTTGTATTTCTGTTGGAATAGCTTCGTCCCATCCGACTTGAGATCTCCAGAGGTCTTGGATAATCATCTTACTATGATATTAATCCAAGTGGATCAAAAACGCTCATCACGAATCGCAGGATACCTCGCTTCGCCAGGTCGGCTTCTGAAGTTCCTGAGCGTTCGAGATTTTATGGTAGTTTTATGGAATATACAAATACGTCTTCATGGTAGCCATGCCATTCCTAGAACCCGTTCTACCTTACTGGCTTTGTCGGCGGTGAAGTCTTTCCTGAGGTCTGTTGCATCTTCTCCCAGAATTCGCAGCACATCCACCGAATCGACCGCCAGTTTCGCAGCTCAAAACTGGCTTTTGCATTTTGCTTGTACCATCCGTACCTCCGAGGCCAGTTTCTCAATTTCTTCCTCCGTATCTAGGCTATCCAAATAGTCATCCACATAGTGGTTTTCTACTATGGCAGCCTCTGCTTCGGGAAATTTATGCTTCCACTCCATTGCGTTAGTATTCTTCACGAAGTTTGCCGAACAAGGGGAACAGGTGGCCCCAAAGATCGCCACGTAAATATGCTTTCCGTCCAAGCACGTCAATCCTATTCGATTATGGTACATGACCGTTCCGGTGGTGCTGGTAATGACGGTCACTGATACGCCGGTATCAACGACTGGGTGATGGTAGCGGTAGCATAATCAGCGAACACAATCGAAAATAGCATTTGCCAGCACTTTGTGAATGTATCCACCTACTCACCACTGAAGCACCCAGCCTTAATCAGCAGCAACATTGTAGTGCCGTTTCTTGTTGTCTAGTTGGTACATGAGCTTGGCCACCTCGAACCGTGCATCTGTGTTGTCCCGGTCAGGTGGTTGGCATCGATCAAGTTCTTGAGCGGATCCTCCGGTTTGGCCAATTTGTCCGATATCAGTTTGTCTAACTGAGGTGCCTCTGAAAGATCAACTTGGTTAGGATGGTTAAGATCTGGGATAGGATTTCACTGCTTGTTGTTTTGTTTCTTTTAAACAAAACATTTAAACTGTCAAATTAATCGGGTTGCCAAACATACCAATATACAAGCAAACAAATTCAGTCTGATGATCGACATAATCAGCACTGCTGGCACAACTGCGGCACACGTGAGGCACACTGAGGGTAGAGTGTCCACTCCTTCGAAAAATGCCACGATCATTAGTGTCACTACTGGCTTCGGTGTTCACGAGTTTTCGGTAGAGCTATTTTTGAAATAATAAACAAGACTTTCCGCGCTGCGATACATAAAAAGAATGATTTATTCCGATTTAGATAGATGTGGGAATGTCCAAACATCCATACCCGAGCAGGAGAAAATAATTAATGAATACATGTTACCAAAATGTGGTGTTGATCAGCATGACATAAAAGGTAAAATAGGGGAAATAGCTTTAATGGATCTAAGATTGGGTCCATCGCAAAAAATCTGCTATTTATCAATTTTATCTAGATGAACGCGTCATTGGGACGGTACTAATGGATATTTTTGGTCGCTATTTAAATGCCCCAAATTAGGGGCATTTAGGCCTACCAAAGAATAATACAAAAAATACTTTGCAAAATACTTTGTAAATAACAAACATTGATATTTGGATACCAAAATAAAACCTGTGTCGTATTGCTTTGGTATTGCATTTGCATAATTTGGTCTTGGAATGGTATTGTGGGAACATTTTTATTTTTGCATTCTTTTTTGGTATTTTACTTCTTTAAGGTATGGAGATATTCGTTCATGCTCGGGTAGTAATGGTATAATTTGTAAATCTAATCTAATTTAAGCTAACAGCAACACAGCCAGTTCATGAAAGCATCCTGGATAATGATAGATGGATGAAACGTGGACATCTAGAAAATGATTGGTCGTTGAGAACATCTAGTCTAAAAAGGTCAAGTGATGCTCCATTTTTCTCTAGTGGCAGGACATGAGCACTAACGTCCTAACCCTGTATGGCTTATAGTTAAAGCGCCATTACTCGCTTTCTGAAGAGAAAAGAATGAAAGAAAAGGACGTAGGAGAAGGGAAAAGGATACACTTTCGGGCTATTTCCAAACTATAGTTCAGAAACCCATCATGATCACAAAAAACGGAATTTTCAAGTACAAAAACATCACTGAAGACATCAAACGTCTAAAATTAGAATCAAAGTATTAGAAGGACTATCTTGCCGAATTAACAAATGGGCAAATCTCTGCTGGAACTTGGTCATTCCCACTCGTTCCCAACCTTTGAAAATAGCGCACTCGACATTTCTCAGCAAAATACATCACAAAAGTGGCTCTTCGAAATGATGTCTAACACAAAGTTGTAGAAAATTGATAAAAGATACCGAAACAGGAACGAACTCACCAAATGATTTACCCGTGAAGGAAACACTTGAAAGACTCCTAATTCTAGCTCAATATTTCACAACATTTCATCGAATCTTCAAAGAAACTCTTGTCAACTCCGCCTCCAATCAAAATCATCGAGCCAATCACCTAATAACAGTTGTGACGAAAAGGATGCTGATAACAATCAAAAAATACTTTGGAATGCATTTCACCCGATCACTTGCACCTGCTATGCACTAAAGTTCTTTTCTAGAACTATGGCACATTGTTTCGAGCTAAAACACGATGAAAAAATCAATTCCAGAAAAAATAAAACCGAACATTTGACACTCGGAAATTTTTCGCGTCCGTACAGAAGCAGAGCTCACTTCGATCTCCGGAGGGGGAACATATTATATCAAGGGAACAAAAACTTGTGCTTCCTGTGTTAGATCCAACAGTAATGCTATAATTTTTTAATACTCTACAGCATCTATTTGTACTTCCTTCTGCACCCCAACTATCCTATTCACACAACACAAGTATACTTTATAAGTTGGGTCGTTTATTTATTATTATTTGTCAGATTTTAATTTCACCACTATTTTTTCAACTTCTGGTGTAATCTTCATTTATCTGTTTTAATCGTTCTGTTTAAATCCCATTTTATGGTTGTGGTGGTCCCAACAAGGTCATGATCGGACACCCTTTAAGCAAATGGGCCTTAAGTTGTGTACATTCATTACTGGGGTTCCACACCGACGCAGGACAATCCTGAAAACCGATTAAAAAACGTCATTACCAACTTTCCGTGACCCTTGTGCCGATTCAAACTCACCGTAAACATCGTCGTAGGTAAACACTCTATGAAGGGGCTTGCGGCGGCGCTGCAACCGAGACTGTCCTTATTCGATACCATTGAGGCTACGTTCTGGTAACAAGTGTCCACTGTAGTCTTGGCAACCGTTTGCCAGTCGCTTGATGATCCGACAAGTGAAACCAGCTTGGAAGTGGCCGCATCCTTGCTCAACACACCGTTGGTCATCATGCCCAACTGTTCGAGCATGCATTGGGCCATGCACTGCAATTTAGGGTAGTCGCTTTAATTTTAGAATATTATTTTCAATTACTCTCAAAGTTACATTAAGCCCAGGTGGTGGACTTCCCGGTGTTGGTGGACCATCTGGTTTCGGAAACTTCTGCATGCAAGTAGTGAACTGTTCCCGTGACGGCATAATATTAGGAGCTGCACAACATTCCTTCGGGTGCTTGTTGTTCGGTCGGTTGAAGCATTCCGGGCTGATTTGTTGTTGACTGCAGGCCTAAGAGGAAAAAATAGTTTTGAATACCTGGATGGATAGAATGTTCGAAAGCAAGGTTATTACCATAGCAACCAAAGCGATCACAGTAAGCAGAACCAAATTGAACTTCATTTTGCCAGATGGGTAACTCGATTGCTTTTAACCGAACGCAAGAACAGTTCTACGATAAACCTAAGCCGGAGCAAGAGCTTTTATGCAAAGTTTGCAACCAGGGTTACTTCCATTCATTTTGCATAAAAAAGTGTTTAATGGTACACTGTCCCCACATTTATGGATCATTTGATTAACACGCTAGACTGTGTGATCCGTAATTGGTTTTAGCTGATCCTTAATTGTGGTTAATTTAGCTGTCAAGATTTATTTATGTAATTCTCCGTTCTGGAAAGCTTTTAATCTCCAGTTAAATTTTCGATATGTGGATTTAAATCTGAATAGTTAATTTATGTGGAACGTTCTGGTAGTAAACTGCAATCGAACGGTCGATACGGAACTCACCATTATACTGGGACTATTCTGAGTTCCATCCCGACAGTCTCTTACTTACGTTTCCAATCAGGCTAAGGCCTTGTTGCCTTGCCCTCTGATGTCCGAAGGAGTCGTATCCACACTACTCGATCCATGGCCACACGTCGCCAGCCTCGTAGTATGAGGAGGGTGCGCAGGTCGCCTTTTACTTGGTTGATCCACCTTGCCCGCTGCGCGTCTCTTGTCCTAGTTCCTGTTGGGTTGCTTTCGAGAACCATTTTCACTGGGTTGTCGTCCGGCATTCTTACGACGTGCCCAGACCACCGCAGTCGCCCAATTTTTGCAGTGTGGACGATGGATGGTTCTCTCAGCAGGTGGTGCGATTCGTGGTTCATTCGCCTCCTCCACGTTCCGTCATCCATCTGCATTCCACCGTAGATGGTCCTTCCGTTCGAAAACATTAGGTCCTCCACGAGCATAGTCCACATCTCGTGGCCGTAGAGGATCACCGGTCTAATTAGCGTTATGTAGAAAGTCAACTTTGTGCGGCGGCAAATTTTATTCGACCGGAACGGCTTCCGGAGTTCAAAGTAGGCACGATTCCCTTTCATAATGCGTCTTTAATTTTCGGCGGTAGGCTAACATTGTCTTTCCTAGAAAACCTCTTCCTCTCATGCAGGCATGGAAAATCATTTGCATTCATTCCGTGCCCCTAACTTTTTTCATCAACAGAATTTCGCAAAATGATGTATGGAGCTTTTGTAGGTTTTGTTATTAGCTACAAGTTTTGTAAAAATTCAAATCTGTATCTCTTATGCATGACGAACCAGTGCGAAAAGAAGCCACTACTGTTTTTCAGTGAATGTATTTTACATTCACTGAAAAACAGTAACAAGTTCTGCCCGCTCTAATTCGTGATGCATACATAAGAGATACAGATTTGAGTTATGAACAAAAGTTGTAGCTAATAACAAAACCTACCAAAGCTCTTTACATCATTTTGCGGAATGCTGTTGATGAAAAAATTTAGAGGCAAATGAATGTAAATGAATGCATGAAATGAATGTAAATGATTTTCCATGCCTGCTCTCATGTATTTCGTCTTCGATGCGTTGATGGCAAGTCCAATCCGCTTAGCTTCAGCCTTTAGTCTGATGTACGTTTCCGTCATCGTCTCAAAGTTCCGTGCCATGATGACGATGTCATCGGTGAAGTAAAGAAGATCGTGTCACTCGTGTCTATCCCAGCTCTTCTTATCACACCTTCTTACACGATGTTAAATAGCAGACACGAAAGTCCATATCCTTGCCGTAGCCGCGATCGCGGCATTTGCTTTCAAAAAGTCACAATCAGCGATTTTCTGACCGCTGTTCGCGAAGAATGAAGAAAAGGTGCGTGGAAATAATTAAACCGTTTTTGCGACTCTGATTAACACTCCGAACCAGAGCTGGTAAATACCACGGCCGTCATTTGACAATGAGAAAATAGGTCCTCTCACTATCACGAGACGAAACTACCTATCATTAGCTTTCTTGTCATTGTCCAATGATCAAGCACTCATGAGAATAATTCTTATGCGGTTTTGACATCAAAATTTCTAACTGATTTAGATGAATTTAAGCAAGCAACCGTAAGTAATCGGTAAAGTGAATACATTATTAAGATTTTCTCGGTACAAGTACCTTTAATAGCAATAAATAAGCTTGTAATTACGATGATCTTAACACAGTCACTTTCTCTCATGGCAAAAAATCGATGAGATTTTGAAGAAAATCCCTATCATCTTTTTCTCATCCGATGATAGTGACTGAAGTATCTCTGTAAATATCGCGTGGGATCTTTCATTGAAAATGAAATTTGCCAGCCCTGCTCCGAACACGATGTCTCAGGTAAAATGTGTAACGGCAAACTTGATATGTTTGAAAAATCATTGGTTAGCCATTTATTGATGAAGTTCAAATCTATTGGCGCCATTTGACTACAGACTTTCGGTATCTACAGATTTTTCGGTATCAATTGATTTAAATATGAAATATGAAAAATATTTTCATAATATCGTATGATTCCATAATCCCATAAAACATTTTTTATATGCAAAATGAATGAAAGTAACCCTGTTTCCAACCCGTAGTCAGCGACCGTGAAATTTGGCTCCAGACGAAGAAAAACGCAACTACCTAATTAATTTCCAGTTAAAATTGTCATCGGTGGATGAGCTTGCAGAAAACGTTAATGTTTTTTGATCGTTGGTCTTTGGTTGAAATACGCAGTGTGACTCAGATGCGTGTATGTTTTGTAATGTATGGAATCGCTTGAAAAAGTATTGCAACACTCAACTCTTGAACGAGTTTGATCTACATACTGATATTTATAAGCAACTTAATATCAAAATTACTTTCAGATTAAGCTCTGTCTTGCTTCATTTGCATTGAACATATGTATATACAGATTTTAAAGGGTACATATTCTAGTCATCCTGTTCTGTATGTTCAAGATATTTGCATCCATAAAAATGGTTCAATGTTGGTTCAATTTTACCCCCTAGGCAAAATGTCACCCCGTCTTACGGTACCACGTTTTTCAGAGTTGCCGGAATTCCAAAGTTTTTTTTTGTATAAACCTTGCCCATCATTTGAAGGATGAACTTCCAGGCAGTGTTGGGAAAATCAGAAATCAATTGATATTTTTCCGCTCTCATGTGCTCGCAACATCACGCGTGATATTGGAACAAAATATCATGCTTGATATTGATTTTACAAGCTCCTTTGATATTGCGACACTATTCACAACGTGCAAAAATCAAGCTGAGAGTTGACTCGACACAAAAATGATTCCGTTGAACATCGTTTACTTAGAAAGAGAAAGTATAGTATTCTATCTCTTTTTACTCTTCACCGATGGTAGACACGAAGCGACTGCTGCCAGCCGTTATGGAAGTTTCGGTTGCATTTGGGTGTAAAGCAAAAATTATGAAACTCAATTTCACCACAGTTTGCTGAGATTTGCAGCTGGTGAGTTTTGTTAGCTTGATATTCTGAGCTGCGATATCACAGCTTGCAAAATCAACCGCAGTTGTTTGCTTGTTGATTTTTGTCCACGAAAATCAAGCGTGATCTTGGGCGTTGGTGAGATTTGATTTTTTGATATTTTCCCAACACTGCTTCCAGGATTCCAGACCAAATATTGTTTTGGGCCATCCTAGTGCAAACCGTTGTTCAGGTATCGTAGGTAGGTTGGTAAGAGGTAAGTTGGAGGAATTTCTGAACTCGTTCGATTCGGAGCACAAACCTGTACGGCGGTAAAGATTTGAACTTTATTTTAAAGTCTATTTTGCTGTGAACAATAATTCACGTTCAACCTTATTCAAATAATCAAATCTTCTAATTGTATTGGAGATGTTGCTTTTAAGTAGCTTTGAAGCAATTAAACTGATCGGTCCAAACTTTTTCCGAACTGTTCGGCTTTTGAGATTTTGGTAAAATTACTTAGGTCGGTGGTAATTTCTAAGTTTGTATAATTCAAAAAAATATTGTTTACCTTCTCAGATAATTAGATAACACTGCTAGGTGAATAAATACCATTAGTACATGTAGTGTTTTTCTTCTTAGCATTGTCCAAATAATGTGAATTTAAAGCGAACTCACACCATCAGGCCAAATAGCATAACAAAGAAATGGATTTCAAACTCAACCTCCTCCGATTTGCATGAAGCTGTGATAATTGTTAGGCTCAAGCCTGAGGCAGTGTACCCGATGAACCGGCGTCCCAACCACAACACCAGCTTCCGTGATCAGTTGTTCCTGGTGCATTTCACGAAGGGATCCACCAGTCTTGCGGCTCTGAGATCCAAAATCCGGGTTCCAAACTGGTTCCGCTGGTAACGAACATCCTCCTAAAGGATATAAGTCGGTGCTCAATAATTCCAAGCCTAACGCCAAGCAAGCTTCGAGTCCCAAGGCGAATCCTTCAGATAAGGAGGGAAAGCTTGATGGTCGTTCTAAAGAACAGAAGCCAGGGACCAGTAAACCGAGTTCACTACTCAAGTTGGTTTCAAATTATCGTCCTCCAGTTGAAGGCGAATGTTTCAACTGCGGGGACCATCACGAGCTGTTAGACTGCCCGATTCCCCGTAGGGTTTTTTGCAATAGGTGTGCCTTGAAAGGGTTCACAACCAACAACTGTCCATTCTGTTTAAAAAACTCGCTGGGGAAGCCCTAAAGCCGCAGGAACTTCCAACCGCGCAAGAGGAGAGCTCTTTCGCTTCTTGGTTTCCTGATCTATATCAGTTTTATGAACTTAGATCAGAAGATGAAGATGAAAAAGAAATTTTCCCTCAAATTCACAAAATCACCTTAAATAACCTGGCAGATGATCGACCTCACGTTACTCTCAAAATTTTTGACATTCCGGTAGATGCGCTTCTCGATTGCGGCAGCAATTTATCTTTCATTAACTCCTCTATATTTCATAAGCTAAGGAAGGTCCGTCTTAGAAAACCTGCTCAGTCGGTGGAACTGCGAACGGCCGACGGTTCTCGTCTGGAAGTCCTTGGAGAAATTCATATCCCTTATACTTTCAATGGTAAAACTCGAGTCTTGCCAACCTTGGTCGCACCCAATTTAACCAAAGATTGTATTTGTGGCATGGATTTCTGGAGGATATTTGGAATCTATCCGG